GTGAGTTGCTATCAACTTGACCTTTCCAGGCTCTGAAGAAGGCGAAATTCGCCGAAACGTCAGCTTAATCGTGAACAAAGAACAATAACACCTCGCGTTTGCTCAAAAAAAATACGAACAAAATAAATAACGTAATTCGATAGCTGAAATGTAATTATGCCTAAATCAAGCAAATAACTTACTCCAAAAGTTGAACAGAAGCGACGTTAACATCGACTCCCCTCATCGACACACACTCTCTCACCACTAGGGCCAACGCTTCAGACAGCTTCTTCTGATTTACTGAGTGCTAAAAAAAAGTGTAGGAATAACATGAAAGAAAACTCAAAATACGCGCAAGAAGCAAGGATAGAAAGAAGATCTATTTTCACATCTCCGATTTTGAATAAAGGGTAAATAAAGGACAAAGCTCTCGGCGTTGATCAATCCCTGAGGGATACGCCATGCATTCAACTTCACTAACCATCATTTGGAGGTGGCTGAATACATATCTGGCCTTTACAATGACCCGCAGTGGCCTACTGATGCACCGATCCAGTGCTGCTATCTTCCCAGACAAGTCTGGTACCAATTTACCGACCCTGGAGAGTGGAAGGCTTGGTGGAGAATGAGCGCAGAGATCGATTCCACGTGTGTGCCGCAAGGCGACTCCGACCACTGCGCTACACGCGCCCTTCCAATTTCGGATACGTAATTTAAACAAAGCGAATAAAAAGAAACAGCACACCTGATACATGCCCATTCCAAGATGTTTCGGATCAATTTTCACATACTCACCCATCGGATCGATTAACCGACGACCGATCGATACTAAAATATTATTAGAGGTGAATTTATTACCAAGTTAAAAATATTAAGGGTGAATTCGTGACCAAGCTTTCCAACAGATGCATAGCAAAGCTGGACTCAGCCCATTCAGCTTGGCCATGCATGTATTGAAAAAATATGTGCATAGAAAACCTATAACTAATCTATATATTAAACAGTAATTTTATTTCGAGAACAACATGATATAATACGAACATTTCACAACAGCCCGAACAAAATTTTAATGCTCATATAAGGAGGAGCTCAAATAGCACTAGTAGGACAGACGTACAAGCACAATTAGCACCTTGAAAAAGCAACACTATTATCTCAAAGCAACCAAAAGATTGCCAAACTGAAAAACTCAAAATAAAATATAAAATTCGGCTTATTAAACTTTCCTCGATTTCACTGACTAATCGTAAAAGTATCAGATGCAAAGCTTCATCGAAACATCACTCTGCTCCATTCCATAAAAGTGATGAAACACTCGGGACATTCTAGCACAGATCATGCTCAATCAGTAGTCAACATGACAACGAGAAGAAATGAGACAAAAGATCCTCTTGTCGTAATCAGACCCGCATACAAATTCAAGCCCTTCCACAGCTACAAATTCAAGCCCTTCCACAGCTACAACACAACCAGTGCAAGCGAGTAACTGCTGGAGTCCACACGGAAATCAGAGAATAGGTCATCTAATCATCAAACCAGGTAATTGAAATGAAATAAAGACCGATATAAATCTTTTCTATGCATTAATCGAACATATTCGTGATCATGCTGGCCGTTCAGTAAGCAGAATACTTGTAAACCAATGAAAAAATTTTAGAAGAGACTTCAGCCTGCTTGCAGGTCTAAGGATATACATATAATTTCTAAAATACATCTCCACTTTATGTTCATTTAAATTCATCCTTTCGAAGAAAAACTTAAATGTTTAGTATTTCGAAAACTTCGCCAGAAGCACAGCAGCGGCAAATATCAACGATGGACTCGATAACAACTCCTGTTGAACGAAAACCTCTTGCCTGTTGAAGATTTCAAATGTAAGCGGTCTTGTAACCAAAAATTTTCGCCAAAGAATAAAAAGCAGTGCGGTCATGACTGAAGAAGTGAATAGCAAAAGATGACTGTGTGAAAATATTTTGAACATTCAAATTGAACATAGCAGTGAGCTAACTGATTCTCAGTCACTTTAAGCATAGAAAGAAAAGTGGTTTTTCAGACTGAAAAAGAAAACAGTTGACCGAGTAGGAAACAAAAGCTGAGAAAAAGAACTACTCCGAAGTATGCAGCTCGACTCATGTGTTCGAGTAAACTTAGTACTAAATAATGACTAAGTATGTAAGACACATGTATGTGTAATAAAACGAGTAGAAAGAACGAGCAATCGCACCTGCGCTTCGCTGAGTCGGCGGCATATTCGGCAGATCCTTCTCGGCAAGTGGTGTGATGCTATACTTTGACGCGCCATCTTCAGGAACAACACTAAAAGTTTCAAAGAACATCAAAAACTGAATTTGTCCTAGCCTTTACGCTCTATAAATAAATCCGTATTGTAAATAGTTTGTGGGTTCAGTGAAAACTACTGCATGATCAAGGCGCATTCACTACTTAAGTGGACTTATTAAAACGAGCTTGTTGACGTGAACCTCAACGCAAATCATCTTCATCGACCGGCTGTTGCTGCTGTTATGAGAAAGAACCAACCGAGAACAGTAAGCATAGTATAAAATGCTGAGATATTTGGCAAAACTCCGGACCGCAGGTGTATGCAGTGGGGAACGAACACGCGCTGTTGTCCTTACCGAAAAGCAGCGCACTTCACCACTACACCATCCGGGTCCTTCATCTTGCCTGTCTCTCAGCTAGTTCACAGCTAGTTCAGTAAGCATAGTTTCCAATATTGCCTGCGTCCAAATAGCCCAAATCTTATGCCTTCTGATTCTCATGAATTCTGAGCTGTCAAAAATTCCTTTGTCGCAAGCAATTTCCCAGTGACCTCAAATCTAGAGAAGTCATTCAACTTTTTCTTTGGAAGTGAAAAAATACTGTTTCTACGAAACTTGAGAAACTTTGAAAAAAGTGAAGTTGGTGCATTAATTCTCCGACACCCTAATATTAACAGCTTCGTGTTACTGCATTATGAAATAGAGACACCAAAAATTACTTGGATAAGCGATTAATTTGATGACTTGCATTCACGAATCATACAAACCTCAACATGATTTCTACAAGCTGGTCATTTCATTGCCTTATCAAATCATAATTTTTTACTGGAGAGCTAATATAGTTGCTTCGAAGCGTTCTAACTTCGTACCACATGAAGTATGTACCAAGTTAATTGAGCTCTGAGCAATTAACAGCTGGATTACTTGGATAGGATATTTGAATGGCCCGTCTTCACTGGCTGTCCTGGCTTCAGCATAATTTCCATTTTTTCGGAGTTTGGCTGGTCTAGCCATTGTGGTTCCCAGGAGTCCCCAGGTCAACCTAGCTAAAGACCGCCCCAGGTCGTCACCATCACGAGTATTCGCCTTCCTTTTGGATCATAGGGAGATATGCCACTATTCGACTAGTTTGATACCACGACGGTGGTTAGTCATGATATTGGTTTACTATTAGCCAGGCTTCTCGATGGAAACGCCAGACTCCTTTTTAGCTTTGGAGACCCTGCTGAGCGAACGAATCCTCTCGCTGTACTTCGCAGCCCGACAGCCAGGAACACTTCTCACCCACGATAAGGAGGTAAACCATTGGGAGGAATAGCTGGATTACTGGATGAAACGTGGGATTCCACAGTTTTGATTACTTCCATCTCGACAATGAGGCTACACTGAAAATCATACCTAAGCAATCAGTAACTACTCTATAAGCGGGTTCCAGCTGTATAGAAATGTTTAAAAACTTTGCCTATAGAGCCGTATTGTGCATATAATGGTTCATGGCAGTCGTTTCAGAGTAAACGATAGGCGACTTTTTTTCCTAAAACTCACCAAAATTTGACGTCTTTAGGTGCGAATTTTCTGCTGCGAATCATGCTCGCAATGGCCTGCTGTGTCTCCAGTGATGCTTTACCATTGCCGATAGCAACGACCACGGGTCTGTCACCAGCGTGCTCAGTCCATTCTTTCAGTACAGCTTCCGCACGTCCATTGAACGACTTAGTATTGAACGAAAACTCGGAAGTTTCAATGACCGAACCTGATTAACACAAAGTCAATAAAAAATACGAAATCAAAGAAAGCGAACAAATAAACTAAAGTGGTAAAGGAGAGGAATTAAGTTCTTCAGTTTTTCAGACATCTATTCATGCACATTTCCTACTTTCGTGTAATCATAAGCACAAACGACTATCACCCTTCTGGCAAGGATATCACTAGAGCTTTTTTCTAAATCAAAAGCTAAACAATTTCATCGGTTTAGGGTTTACTAAAATTAAAATGGCTGTAAACTTTAAGTACATAATGCCACCTAAGGAAGAACGTAATTTAAAAAAACTTCGTAATAAACTCCGTTTAGACAACTGCAGAAGTTCTATTGCTTCAATTGTGTGCCAAACACATTAAGACATTGTAACTTTAGCAGCTTTGTTTTATTAACCATCAAGTTTCAGCATCAGTTACGAAACAAAAATTTTGAATCAATACCAAAAAGGTTAATAGTTCACGCGTGAGAAAGTAGTAAAATAAGAACAGTACTGTTCTATACGATAAGAAGTACAAAAAATCGCTTAGCTACTGTCCATTATGAGACAAAAACCTCACACAAATCCTGTTTTATAAGTTCATGTGCTAATCAAGAAGGAAACCTCGGTGTTCTACCTTAAGCACTCCATAGAAATCAAATTAGTACAGGAGTGTAGGAATCAGGGTTCCAATGGTTTTTTGGGATATTGAGAGGGCTATAATAAAGTATTCTAGGGCTTTCCTCATTGGTAATGTTGCTGCTATGACGAGGAAGGGTTCGTTGTTATTTCATGAGAGTTCTCCTATTCCTTAGTACACAGAAGCACTTCTTCGCTGTAAAGCAATGTACATTCGCAAAAACAAATAAAACATATTACTCGACTAAAACACGACTTTTTAGTCACAAATGGAACTATCTTCGCTATTCCCAACTCATCTGTGTTAAAATTTTAGAAGTCTATACGAATTCCTTTCATTACGTTTGCATCACGGATTGAGTTCATTCAGTGAGAAACCATGATGAATCATTGTGTCACTACCCTTAACTAACAGTCATGTCAGTTTTCCAAATACTGATGAGTATTCGATCGATAACAATAGAAGCTGAGGTAAAGGACATCGCTGCCTTTCTTTTACTAAAAGCTTTCCATTAATGGTTGGACATCTCACAGATGCTCTGATTCCACTAATCCCATTGATAGAAGTAAAAGGCGACACAAACACACAAACAAAGAATCTTTTCAAAAACGAAAACGTCCTTGAAGACTTCGTTGTCCTGACGGTATTCACCTTCAATTTTTCCTCATATCTTTTTCCAACCATTATTTGCTGAACGATAACCATCCGGAGCAGCTGAGAGTACCGAAAGTCTTGCGGCGTAAACAATAAGAAGAAACGAGCTATGGAATTACAAACTAGTCCGCTAACTTTTGATCCTATTGAAGTTTACTATCAAGATTACACTCGATCAGATCACGCATTCCAAACAATGCGCATTTTCTTCACCAAGGTATATTTCCAATAGTTCTCATCGGTGTGAAGAAAATCTAAATTCTGATTAGGGTATAGCGGTTTTGTGACAACATGACATCCTTTCCGTACACATATTTCTATAACACTAATACGTGCTCAATATAACTGAATTAGAACCGACCACTTTCTTGTAACCACTACACGTGCAACAACGTCTTTAAAGCAAGAGTGAATATGCTATAGATGTGAGCCTCGTCTTAACAGCGTGAAATCCTGATAAATACCCCTTAAAGGATAAAAAATAAAGGTTAAAGCTCTCGGCGTTGATCAATACCTAAGGGATGCGCCATGCATTCGACTTCGTTAAGCATCGTTTGAGGTGATTGAATGCGTAACTGATCTTTATAATGACTCATGGTGGCCTACCGATGTATTGAGCCAGTGCTGCTATTCTCTCAGACAAGTCCCGATGGGATGGAAGGTTTGGTGGGCCATGGGCGCGAAGATCGATTCTACTTGTGTGTTGCGGTGCACCTCCGACCACTGCGCCACACGCGCCCGACAAACAGCCCTTACCTCTTAAAACTGAGAACATATTGTGATGTAAACAAAAAATTGGAATGTCAAAAACAATGACTATTTTATTAAGATAACGGCGAAAATCACTGGATCAGAAACTGTTGGACGTTCAATGATCATGACCGTAACACCCGGTGTTACGAATTCGATTAGGAAGGATAACAATATTACCCAAACATGAACTTGAATTTCCATCTCGCCTACGTTCACGCATAAACTCTAAACTGTGGGTTTCACCCTGTGTGACAATAACACAGTAACGAAAACAGTTAAAATTTGATTCCGAACACAAAATATGAGCACAAGCATAACCATACAAGTAAGTTAACTAATGGCAACTGCATTCCCGAAAGTCATCATCATTGTCCAGTGTGTTGGATAATGCTTCCCTCGTAGTATTGCGCACTGCAACCGACTTTCGAGGCAATAAAAAGTAATGCAATAACAATAACAAGAGGAGAACTTATTGCTTTCACCGATATGTATGAGATATGTAACCACCACACTACATTTCATTTCATCAAATTGTACCAGAAGGAAGGTGACTGAAATACGCGAGTAAGTCACTTTTCTTGCTTTGATATGTTCTGACTTTCTGTTTGTTCTGCTCATTTCAATATGTAATATTATAGATGAAATGGAACGGTCAAAGATAGGAAAACTGCCTAAATTTCGGCGGAGGGGCAGCAGTAAAATGATGTCCAGTGAGTGATGAATGTGAATCTGGAAAACTAGAACCAAAAGACTAGAAGAAGTGCCTTCGCTTCTCGTCAGCATTGCAGCAAATCCGGATAATGTTAGCTCGAATATATCCGAAATGCACTAAAGTACGCATTCGGTAGTGGTGTTGCTTGCTAACATTGTGCAATAAACTCACAAATGTTCTATTTATTTTTAAATATTTTCGCTGTAACGAAAAAATTCCGAGGCATCAACCACAACGATGCTGAAATATTCGCAAAACTTTGACCCCGGTTCAGATCGAACCACGATTACCCTTTGCGGGGGCTCACGTATTACACACTGCACAGCGGAGGCCCTGATGGTTGTATCTCACATCATACCCTACCGTGAAAAATTAAAGCAGGCAGAAAATAAAAGGTTAACATTGTGATTTCGACTACAGCCTCGACTTAACTGGATGCAATGCCGATTTGTCATTTTTAGATCAATCCTGCAGACGGCTTATTGCTAATGGTAGCGATAGGTAGAGAACTAGCTGAGAGAAATGGAAAGCAAAGTTCTCACTGGTGCGGTGTGTAATATGCGAGTCCTCGGAAAGGGTAATCGTGGTTCGATCTGGTTCGGGATCCAGGTTTTGCGAATATCTCGGCATCGTTGTGGTTGTGTCTCACATCACACCCTCCCGTGAAAAATTATAGTAGGCAGAAAATAAAAGGTTAGCATAAGTGTAAGTTTGTTTCTTGCTTTTAACCCTTTTAACCCATCATTTACCTATTTAGCAATTACGACCACTTGTGAAGATGATGGTACGCAGGTAGAAAGAAGAACCAAAAGACCAACAAGGAGGTCTACTGTATCCAAAATGGAATCACCTGATCATGCGACTTTCAAAGAGGCATTCAAACTGTTTTGCGATAGGACATTACAAGTGAGCAAGTCAGACGATGCACAGGCTTTAGATAAGTTGAAAAAGTAATGTAAACTGTTGTAATAAGCATCCTAAGAAGTTGTAGTCGTAAGTGATGTAGAATTTCAGGAACAATGGGTTTTGTTGAATTACGTGGCACATAATAGCAATTTGAGCCAGTACAAAGATCACAGACGAAAAATTTAGGAAGGAAAAGCGTCCCAATTGCTCTCAGTTATCTCACGTCATTCTAATTCAATAATTGTCATTCTTCTCAACTGCTTCACTATACAAGCCCAAATAAATAAACAACAAATAAAGACAGTAAACCAATTCATACTTAGCCGAAATACTGCTACTTCAGAACGGGTCTATCGATATTTGAACCAGTAACATCTAAAAACAATAGTTTTTCATTCTCCAGACAGGAGTTATGCCGTTAGCGGAAGAGTTCATAAAACTGAAAATGGCAACGCAGTCCATCGGTAGTCGACCAAAAACAGCTTGTGATGCGAATCCAGAAAAAAACCGATATAGAGGTAGAGTCAATACTAATTTACTAGTCTATTAATCTACGCTATTAGTTAACAGTTTGTCATTCAACTAAAACTGTTGCAAAGCAACTACAACTAAACAAATAATGAGGAGGAGTAAGGGATAAAAAAAGATAAAACTCTCGGCGTTGATCAATCCCTGAGGGATGCGTCATGTATTCGATTTCCTTAAGCATCGTCAAAAGTCACTGAATGCATATAAGGGCCAATACATTTACTCACGCTGGTTTACCGATATATTGAGTGAGTGCTGCTATCCTCCCAGACAAGTTTAGTACCAATCTGCCCAACCCGGAAAAGTGGAAGGCTTGGTGTGTCTGGTGCGTAGGATCGATATCATGTAGGGAAAGGTAACAACGAAAATTAACAACAAACATATTTTCAAGAAAGAAAATCATCCTCGAGTCATTTATGAGTGGCACTTCAGAAGTCTTCTGTATTGATGCTACACGTGTAGTATTGACATGGCCGCCCGGATTTTGCGACTATATCAACGCAAATTGGATAAGTGGAGTGGATAAGGCAAAAAAATTCATATGTACACAGGTACGTAAATAAAATAGGTATTGTATATATGTAAATGCGTGTACATGTATATATATATATATATATATATACACATACGCATGCATATGCACACATGTACATATATACATATGTACATATATATACATATGCATATATATACATACACATGTACATATATATGTGTATATATTTACAACCATATTGTACATATTTTATCGCCAGCCATATCCAGTAATTTGAAAGATTCTCATATTAGGACAAATGCAAATTCTAATCACAGGCCTAACGTTTCTATGAACAACGGCGCCAGCCTTTTTTCACATATATATATATATATATTTATATACATATATATATCCTCTTCATGAAAAAATAAGACCCCAAAATCGAAAACAAAACCCGAAAAACGCTATTAGGTCTTCTTCTTCAAGTTCTTTCACATTATGCCAAATAAATCGAACTCATCTCTGGTTATATAAGAGCCTACAAGAATCTTAGTGTATGTTAAGCGTAGAGCAAAAAGACAAGAGAGATCAAACACAGAGGAATAATGAGCAAAAAGAAAGGTGTTCCTCGTCCCATTCGAGTGGTCAAAACCCACTAGGACGCCTAGGTTTTTGAACGGAACTGTAACGGAGACTTCACTGGTACCTATTTGACTCAATAATTAACAGTATAATAGATACGAATTTAACATTGTCTAGTAATCATCTATGAAAGTTACTTCAATACATAATTCGTCGCATATGCTGACATCAATGTGTAAGAGAGGGGCTGGATTGGACCGCGTGTAGCGACTTCAATGCATATTCTTTCCGACTGCCTAATTTGTATTCAGTAGATAGTATAATCAGTAACAAACGTTGTTCTAGACGTGATTCGTAAGAAGCCACTTTTTACACTTAGTAGTTTTAAGAAAGCTCTTCCTAGATGAATTTCCTAATAAACACTGTGCATGGATAAGAAACTGAGCGTGACCCCAAAAGGTAGCCACATAAAATTAGGTGCAGCCATGTATATGTTGAAAATGCATCAGTTTTATAAGAAAAACATAAGAAAACAAAATCACTCGTAAAATCGATTTAATTTAGGGTCCAGTCGAGAAAACAGTCGACGATTTTTGGCGTATGATTTGGCAGGAAAAGTGCAGAAGTATTATCATGCTCTGCAATATCACTGAAGGTGGAAAGCCTAAATGTGAACAGTACTGGCCACTCACTGCCGAATCACCCGTGAGTTGTTCTTTACAATCGCATAGGTTCCCATACAAGGATGAGGATTGGAACGAGGAGAAATGTTCTAGAACTCACCACTCGCTTAATTTCACCTCCATAAAATAGTAATGCTAGTCATTTACGGCAGCGAGTTGAAGAAAGAAATGACTCTAAGTTTGCCTAAAGAGATAGAGGGTGTAGGTTTCACGAAAGAAATCTAAGCGTCTTTCATTGTGGAGAAGTCATACTTTCACTAATCTAATAAAAAACAAATCTAAACTGAAATATGCAATTTAACTGAACTTCGTATTACAGATGAAGTTGGCCAGTGGTCTTACTGTTAAATTCATTTCTACAGACGCAATTGAAACTAGTGTAGAGTTAACAAAAATTGAAATGTCCGACGAAACTGGGGTGAGAATTCTTTATGGAATTTGTTTAATACCATGAAAACAAGCCAATTGGCCTAAAATTTGTGGAGAGAGACGAAGCTTCCAAGAGGAATACTTTTCCTCATTAATCCTATCGAAAAAAGCTCGTCCTTTCTCACCGATAACCTGTCTTGCAACTTCCTGCTACTGGATCAACTGAGTGGTTAGATTTTACAGGATGTATTGACCAGTGTTTAGGCACAACATACCGTTGAACATTTTCACTGGACAGATTGGCCCGATCGGGGTGTTCCTAGAACGACAACGTTGGCGATCTTCCGGATTCTACGTAGAGTGAATCGGCTTACGCCATGCGTCGTTCATTGCTCGGCAGGTATCGGACGCACAGGAACTGTCGTTGGAATCGACATGGTCTATCGAAGGTTGGAACGTGGTGAAAAGGATGTGAGTGAATATATGATAAAAGAAAGCACTTAGGGTACTGTATATTAGTGAAGAATTCTATCAACCAGTAACATTCATAGCTTAAAAAGCTGAGACGAACCTCCACTAGAACATGATCGAAAGAATTGATCCCATGCATAGAATGAAATACGGAGAACCTTATGAATTCAATACAAGAGTCATAGAAAACATTCATTATGCCACTGGTACATCTCTCCACCAATAGGCGAACAAATCATTGAATTGGTGCGCTCCAAAGGATTAAATCCAATGTATTCGAATCATCCAAGGGCTCTTTTTCAAAGAACCGAATGTTCCTAACCAAGTATAAGTCATCTACAAATCATCTAAGAATGACAGAACGTGTGCAGCACTGATAAGTGTAAAAATAATCCCAAAGAACCAGCGAAACTCCAGGTAACTCTACTAAAAGTGATCACCGAATTGCGAGAAATGAGACATGGAGCTGTACAAATGGATTGTCAATATGTTTATATGCACCGAATTCTACTGGTTGTCGCAGAGAACCTAAAGGTGCATTCTATACTTACTTGTTTCTTACGACTGTAACCTTTCCTTTTATGTTCAACGTAAACAGAGGAGAACAGATGCTTCCACGTGTAAACTAATCGTCTAATTTGTAAAGAGGAAAATCCTCCATATACAGAACAGTGATAACTAAATGCATAAAAACAAAAATCGTTTAAAAATAAGCACTTGATTTCAGATAATAACCGCAGCAGAGACGGAGAAATTCCAACAGGAATACGAAAAATTGCTGAAAAGCCGTGGTTTTCTATGAGGATTGCTGTACGAGGCGTGCCTCTCATGATCTTCACTTACCAAAACGACAATGTATACAATTAATTTGCACTAAATTATGCATATTTAGCACTACTAGCGAAAATGCTTCAATAAAGAAAAGATTTCACTAACTGTATAGAAAAGTGTTAAAGTTAAGCACGAATGGCATTTCCAGCTAGCTTGTTAAAACGTCGAATATAGTATGTATGAAAAGGTGTTGTACCTGTAGGAGTTAAAAGAGCCGCTTTGCAAGCGGAAAAACCAGGATCAAGGGCGATTACGAAAGCCGAGTTCACCCCTTCTCGCCAAAATAAATGCCTGAGATTGTGAGCAAAGCAAGAGATGGCTGCGTCTTCGGCACGAGAAATCAGATGACGCCTGAAAACAAGAAACTTGAGTACGAAAGGATACTTGGGTACAGAGGACATTCGGCAGTAGGATACTTGGGTAGTTCGTTTCCAACGATCGTGCAATAACGAGCACAACTTCAGCTCGTTTCGTCCCCACGCGATCCTTTACTGTAAAAATATGTTGTCTTAACTCTTATAGTTAAAAATCTTGAATATCGCGATAAACAATTTAGAACTACAAGTACAGTTGGTTAATATGAGGTAAAAACACCTCAGCAGTTAGTCATGATCTCATGAGACCGTCGAACGGTGCATCCTTCCGTGTTCTGAACAGCAGCTCGAGCCGCAGGAGAAAAACTACTAGGTGCAGCTTCTCCAAAGCGATTTAGAGTTCTTCTATGTGTTTGCGGAACGAAAGGTTTGAGCAGAACTTTTTCGCTATCAATCCCACTGCGTCGCAGGAAGGTCTTCGTTTAGCCGTTTTTTAAAGCCGATATCGGAAAGGAAGGGAAGTATTTGCGAACATTTCGACGGTTACTCTTCGCAAAGGATCTTCATGTTCCCCGGCACAATTTTTCCTTCCTGGTAGACTGCCACTTACAGATGGAGTCGATCAACAGCGGCATGGAAATTAGAATCAAAATTCCTTCCTTCTGGCCTATTTCAGATATCTCCTTGGTTGATACAGAAATGTGGAGCGAGTTATATATTGATGAATTCCAGTGCATTCATATTTTCTGGGGACCTTGATGAGTAGCTCATAAGCTTCAGGCTTTCAATTTTAGAGCACAAAAGAAAGATACCGTTCAAATCCACATCACACACGACTTGTTTTTATTCTGAGGGGCCAGACTTTCTTTCATCTTAGCCCTGAATATGTCAAAGAAGGCTGCGATCAGATTCAGAACGGAAAAATATCACCATAGAGGTGTCAATGAGGTACCATGATCTACTAAAATGTCGAACTCGGGATCAATTGTGCATATGTCGATTCTCATGACTTGTGACAATTTCTTCCTTCTCAGAGGTTGTCAACGGAATGAATATCTCCGAATGCTCCAGTTATGTCTATCTAGGTCGAGAAATCAATATGATTAACGACTTAGCTCCAAAGTTGAGCAGAAGAAAACGAGCGGCTTGGGGAGCTTTCAAGAGTATCGAAAATGTAGTAAAGAGAACAAAGAAAACCAGACTCCGTCCCCACCTTTTCGACTCAACGGTACTTCCTGCCTTAACTTATGCGGCAGAAACCTTGTCTCTGCGTAAGCAGGATGAGAAATCACACAGCGTTATTGAACGCGCAGTCGAAAGGACGATTATAGGAGTGTTCCGTGTCACACAAGCAAGGGAAGGGATCCGAAGCTCCGACCTGCGTCAACGATCAAAAATTGAGGATGACTGGATTCCCCGGGATGCCAAACGTACTGCATGAAGACCACCAACCGGATGGTCAGAGCTCTTTCACGAAAACCATAGAAGAAATTATAATGGTCAACGAGTCCCCCTAAAGCGCGCACGACGTACTGAGCTACTCTTGCACGCAAAAGGGAAAAATGGAGAATTTACTGGTGCCTGCTCGAGTTACTCGACTATCATCGGGACGACAGGGTGACGGGTGATCTGCACACAAAACGAACCTAGGCATGAATCTCATGTAATTTGACATAATAGGGGATGGGTCAGTGTACGACAAATCGTACTCCACTTAGATTTCCTGATGAATTGTTCTCTTCACAGCAAAGCAAGGGGCCTTTTTTCTGTGAGTGTACGCTGCTGTTCTCGATTTCTTGCAAATCAATTATGTGAACTTCGGTGCAAACTGTACACTTGCGAAACAGGTGAAATTCTAGAAATTCCACCTTCCACTGTAACCGTGGAATATACGGTGCGGCATTTCTTCAAAACATTTTTTCTTGCAGCGTTAATAATCCTCATAGAAAGACAAAATTGAACCAAATTTCAATCGTTGTCCCATCGACTGACGTCAAAAACGGGAATGCACAATAGTTGAATAGAAAAGAAAACAAAAAGAGAAAGAAAGTATTTAAAAAATTTGCTTCGTGAAGATCGAGAACAGATTCTCCACGATTTTATGATGAGTACTAAGCGTAGAAACATAATGTTCCGCGTGTGCCCAAGGCAAATATAAAGTTATAATAACACGAAAACCCATAAAATTATTGCATACAGTGGAAAGACCATCCCGACTTTTTCAAAACTGACTTTCCTTTAACTTCGGTGAGATTAATCAATTTGTAATCTTTCTTTGATAAGCTTACACGAGGTTGGCAAATAGATTTATTTCGTCCAACGTTTCGACGCTTTCGTTTTCATCAGAGCCAATGATCCCGGTCGATGGTCCACAGTTGTTCGTGTTCTAGAGGTACTTCTTCAACGGAGCGTCTTTCTCGAATGAGCCATGTTCATTCGGCGATGACCTCTTATACAGGATGGCTCTTATCGATAGCGGTGATTGTCCGGTGATAATCATGTGTTTGCTCCCAACTGTTTGACAATGGTAATATTCACGGTAGTTCACAACAAAACAAGTTGCATTATACTTAAAATTACTACAAAGAAGAAAAAGTAAAGAGGATGAGTTTACGTACGTACGTAGCTTTCAAATAAGAATCAAGAAACAAATGTGAACACCTGATGGTTCGCTTAATTCTCGGTATGAAAAGGCGGTTGATTGAGTCGTTAAGAGCAAGTTGGAAGAGATTCCGATGCACCGCTGCGATTCTAAAGATACTAACTCGTTTAAAGTATTTATACTAAACAAATGGTATAAATTACTGACATAATAATTGCAACATTTAAAAAACATCTCAAGATTTTTTCCTTTAATTTGAAATTTCTAAATCACCATACAATCTGTTGTTCTCTTTTTAACAGCAATCGCGAGGTTGTTATTCAGCACACGTTTAATTCCTCACAAATATAACGCATACAACACAATGGTAGCTGACGTTTCGGCAGTAACACTTTCAGAACCTGGAAGGGCACACTAATATGTAATTTACTAGGTAAACGCTTCAACAACAAATAAGGTGGTTGACAATGAGACAGCGACTGGCACCAAAACATAAACGCCATTGCGTTTATGTCTAAAGTAGAAGCCCCCATTCTCGGTCTCAGGCCACTACTCTACTGTAGGTACATAGATGATTGTTTTGTCGTCTTCTCTACGCAAAAGAACATGGACAAATGCTTGGAATGATTAAACGAGCAGTCCGAGTACATTAAGAACACCCGGAAGAATCCGAGAAAAAAACTGGCCTCCGTTTTTAACGTTCAAATAAAGATATCAAGTAGCAGTTAAATGACAAAGTGGAACCGAAAGCCAAGTAACGAGAGCATCCTTGTTCATTTCCTTTCTTCCCACTCTTCACATACAAAGAAAGTGTTTGTGAGAAACATGTTTCGAACAGTCACCTCTGTGTGCACAATCAGGGAACTAAAGGAAGAATCGCGCAACTTGGCTCGGAAAATACACATCTCCAGTGGCTACGAAACAGTAGCTCCACGAGATAGTTTAGAATGAGAGCAACGCCCCAAAACGAAAGGCTTGGCCAAAGCAAAATCCCGTTTAGCTTGCCCTTTATTAGCGATGAAATAAATGTAGCGATAAAGCGATGCTTAAGAAGAGCAGATCTAGAGGAATCGGTAGCGATAGTTGAAATACTTATGGATAATTTACGTTGTCAGTTAGTTCGTAACCGCCTGTATGACCGTCTATGTGAAACAACAAATTGCGCAATTTGCCATTACGGCAGAGACGGTGACTGCATGATTTCAGATACGACACACCTGATTTCTTCTAGTACTTCCGGAGACGAATATATCGGCGAAACGGACAGACTTTAATGTATCCACATAAAAGAACATCTAGATGACAAACGAAAATCAAAATAAGGTACGCCAGTGGGCACGCATCACCTGTAGTTCCGCTGATCGTCGAGTGACTCGAGCGGGCGCCAGTAAATCTTCCACTTTTCCCTGTCGCGTGCAAGAGTAGCCCAGTGGGTTCTGCTCGCTCTAGGAACTCGTCGGGCATCACATTTTTCTTCTAGGCTCTTCGTGAAGAACTCTGACCATAGGTGGTGGACATTCTGCAGTACGTTTGACATCCCAAGGAATCCAGTTACTAACGGCTATTGTCCATCGGTTGTCATTCGTACGCTTTACGTGTCTGGCCCACCTTATCTTCGACTGTTTGGCGTACAGAACGGCATCTTTGACTTTTGACCGTTGACGCAGATCAGAGCTTCGGATCCCATCCCTTACTTGCGTGGAACGGGATACTCCTAGCATCGTCCTTTCGACTGCTCTTTCGATAACGATGAGTGACCTTTAATTCAGCTTACGCAGCGACCAGATTTCTGAGGCATACGTTAGATCAGGAAGTACCATTGAGTCGAAAAGGTGGGCACGAAGTCGGGTGCTCTCTGTTCTCTTCGCTACATCCTCGATGCTCTTGAAAGCTTCCCAAGCCACTCGTTTCCTTCTGCTCAGCTCTGAAGCTAGGTCGTTCATCATATTGATTTCACGACCTAGATAGATATAACTGGAGCATTCGGAGATATTCGTTCTGTTGAGCGTGAATGGGACATGGAAACCAATCCGTTCTTCATGAACATCGTTTTTGAGACATTTAGCCAAAGATCAACCTTTCCACAGACTTTATCAAAGTCGGCAAGCATACGTTCCACTTAGCTAATGTTTAGTGTTATAAGTACGATGTCATCAGCAAAGCGAAGATGGTGTAACTGCCAACCATCGATTTCCACTCCCATATTATACCATTCCAGTGTTCGTATGACGTTCTGGAGGGTGGCGGTAAATAATTTTGGTGAGATGGTATCACCTTACCTAACTCCTGTTTTGACGACAATATTAATATCGTTGTAGAATCTTGGTTGTGAAATTTTTGTACAGCTCACGAAGAATCTTTATGCACTAAGCAGGGACTCCTTGATTATCAAGGGCTTCCAAGACTGCTTCTATCTCAACTGAATCAAAGGCCTTCTGTAAATCGATGAAAGGGAGACAGAGCGGTCTTTTGTACTCTCGTGATA